AGCGGTTAATTATCCAACAGAATTTTTGAATTCACTCGATCTGCCGGAGATGCCACCGCACGTACTGCAATTGAAAATAGGTGTGCCAATTATGATGTTGCGAAATATCAACCAGCAAAGCTTTGCAACGGCATGCAGCTTGCAGTAAAAAAATTATTGAGCAACGTCGTAGAAGCAACAATCTTGACAGGACCTTTCAAAGGTGAAGATGTCCTCATTCCTTGCATTCCTATGATTCCAACGGATATACCATTTCAATTTAAGAGATTGCAATTCCCAATTCGATTGGCGTTTGCAATCACCATCAACAAAGCTCAGTGCCAATCTTTAGAATTCTGCGGTTTAGTTCTAAGCACGGATTCCTTCTCACATGGACAATTATATGTTGCGTGTTCTAGAGTCGTCAAACGAGACAATCTCTATATCTGCACAGACAATGGAACAACAAAAAATATTGTATACCCACAAGCATTGTGAAATTAAACATATTAGAAATGTGCGCTTTCTCTTTTCTTTCTTTTCCATTTAACCAGACTGAGCCACAGCAACGCATGGCCAGGTACAGCTAGTAATTAATAAGGTAGTGCATGAGGATGCTTAAATACAATAGCTTTACTACTGTATTAGTGCTGGCTATGCTTATCTCCAGAGACATTTATATGCTTATTCATGCAATGGGACCTGCAAGCCTGTATGCTGGATTGGATGGGAGTGAGGATGTTGGGTTGTGGACATGAATATGCCATGATCTCAGTTGCATCCAGATCTGAACATACTTACCCAAAGAAAATGAAAATTTGACTGTGTTGTCTCACTGTAAATTGTTTATAATTAGACCTGTGTGAAGCAGGATTGCTGTATTGACAACTTTTTTAAAGGGTTATACCTTCTGGGATATGATGTGTAAGGTAAAGTAATGCCTCAGTCATCAAGCGATGAAAATGTTTACATTTCTGACCTGAGCACTAGATGGAGGTGAGAGGAGGGTATCTTCAGATCCTGGCCTCATTATCCCTAGGGAAAGAGCCCCAGTACCCAATGGATAGGAGGCTTTGTGGGCCAAAGAGCTAGTCTGGATGCTGTGGAGAAGAGAAAAATCTTTTGCCCCTGCTAGGGATCAAACCCTGGCTGTCCAGCCTGTAGCCCATCATTATACTAACTGAGATGCCCTGGCACCTCTACAGTATTGCTTGTTGAAAGCCAGCTGAAGTTTTAGAGGAACATGTTGTGGCCATCTTCAGGATTGGGGAAAAAACCTAGCATCTCTGCTTTCTGTCTGCTTTATGAAAATGGAAGCGACATATGCTTCTGAACCACTGGTTGATTTTCAGTGGACTGCATTGTGTTATGTCCTAGAAGGTATAACCACCGTTGTGAGAACCTCATATCATAATCTTCCCCACCTCCCATTGTGCTTGTAATTCTAAGTAACTGTAGTTAGTCTGCTTTCTTGTAGCATGTAGTGGTGAGTGTATAAGATAGCACTTTGCTATTTACATGTTACATGTAAAAAGTAACCAAACTTTCATTTGTATTTTCCAGAACCTGATCGTGGCATAACAAACTCAACAGGTCAGAGATATTTCAATGAGATACTTTCAGGAGTAGTGAGTGAAGTTCATCTTTCTCTAATATTGTATGCTACAGATAAGAATTTGTATGTCTAAGATTCTAAATTGTTCTGATTATGGTGTATAACACTGGTGATTACTGGGTTTTTGGATTTTGCCCATCATCTGGTACTGTGAAAAGCAGATTTCAGAAACTCAATCTGTTTCTGTCCTCAGGTTGGGGGTGGGAAACACCTAACTTGCTTGGGTCTGTTAGAAATCACTGGATAAAACACCGTGTTCTAGTACTGGATGTTGGACAAAGTCCAAAAACCCAGTAATCCCAAGACTTGTTTATCTGTAGTATTATCATTACAAAATGCATTCATGCATATTAAACCTTGTGTAATTAAATTTTACAACTTACAAATATTTGCTTTCAGAAAATGCACACTTTAAGGAATATTATCATTCAGAAAAATGAGGCTGCAGCATGTAGTATTGTTTATTCCTGTCGTAAGCATCTTACATACGAATGAATGAATGAATGAATATTTGTTGATTGTGAATGTGTATAGCAGTCAGCATAACATTCTATCCCAGGCTGTAGTTCACAAATTTAGTAAATCCATTGTGTTCACAGTCTACACCTATCACTTTGGGCTTTCAGAATGCATGGTTCATAGATGGGTACCAGGGTTCCAGAGGAACATGCTGTCTCCATCTTCAGTGTAAAAGAGGTTGCACTCTTTATTCTGAAGATGGCAACAGCAGGTTCCTTCAGTATGCATTTATTTATCTACGAAACTACACACCATGACCTTCCAAAAAGCTGCAGTATGAATGCCCTTCACTGTGTGAACCTCACGCCTGTTTACACTCTGTTGGTCTTGCTGTTTATTTATTCCTGACAAAGGCAAAGTTGTCCCAGTGCTTAATTAAGCATTACATCCAGAAGATGTATGCGGGAGTGGAAGTGCAGCTCCACCATTCTTGACCTCTGTGCTAGATCAAGGTGAGTTGTCTGCTTCACACAGCAGCTGCTCTACTGCCAGAAAGAGCCCATGGTACCCATTTGATAGTAGGCAAGGTGGGTCCCAGAGTTGGCCTGGATGCTGTGGGGAAGAAGACTGTAACTTATTGCTGTACCAACTGAGTTATCCTAGACTCTTCATTCATTGCTGATGCAACACTGTTTTAATGACACCTGTGTGTAGAACATACGGCAACTGAACTAATTCTTGCTTGTTGTGTGTTGATAATCAGGAATACCTCCATAGCCATGGCATTGTACATCATGACCTGAAGCCGGAAAATATCCTACTGGATGAACACTATAACCTAAAGATTTGTGACTTTGGATTGGCTACTGTATTCAGGGGGAAAGGAATGGTCAGTAATGGTCATATAAATTAATTAAGTTATAGATGACAATGTCTCACAATATTAGCAGTGTTATTCTGGATAAACAGACTTTAATAAAAACTGTCATTGCAATTTTCATTTAAATATTCTCATGCCTTGGTCACATGCTTTCAATTTATTGCAATTTCGGAGTTTACACATGATCCAAAAATAAACTCTGGTGGCAAGTTCTCTGAATTTTTGAAGATACAGTTTTGGCCAAGACTAGTTTTATACTGACTTTCTAATTACCGTTCTAAAGTTCAGTTATCACAATATATGCCAGATACAAGAACAATAATGATGCTCATATTTGCATATGAACGTCTACATTAGCTTGTGAGAATTTAGTATGTTTTGTGCCACCTCCACACAAGCATTTATAATTGTTTGTGAATATAAAACCCATCTCCTTGCATGACAGGTTACTTAAACTGACTAAATTCTTGGTGCTGAGGCATCAGCGTACTTCCACATCACTGCATCTTAATAGCCACATTGGGCATTTCCATGTTTCATCTCAGGCAGAGAGACAGGAGCCCCATTCCTGTTGTAAAACCTTTCGTTTATTTTTTTTTCTTGATCGACACACTTCCACTTTTACATCCAGTAATATCATCTGGTATACGCACTAGAGTGCACGTGCGCATACGAAAAACCAACTTACCACCACACTGCCTGGAACCGTACTGGGACAGCCATGTGGTTAGATTGTACGACATGCGTATATAAGTATTACCAACATATACAACAGAAACAACATGCGTATATTAGTATTACCAACATTCCCCCATAATCATAGCATGTAAATTAAATAACTCAAATTAATAATAATAACCAAAATATTATGGTACAATCACATGGGCACATAAATTCAATTTATACAATCAAAAGGTTTCATGCCCAATGCATCTAGCAAATATTCATGCTTCACCTTAGGTAAACTCTTTGTCATTATATCATCCTTCATAATTTCTGTAGGCACATATTCCAGATCAATCAATCCAT